CACACACACACACACACACACACACACACACACACACATTAAAGTAAATAAAATATAAATTAAGACCTTCAATTAAAATGGAATTTATTATTTATGCAAGCAATTAACTTAATTTGAGCTGAGTCAAGTCGTTAAATCAATACAAATATACCATGAAAATTGGAACTAGGAAAAGAAAGGCTTGATTGAAGAGGGAAACGGCCAAAGTTAATTCAAAAGTCCCAGGGGAGTCGCTCAACCAAGGACAACTACACACTGAACTCTGGGCTTCCCAGAAACCAAAGCAAAAGCGAGGACAGGAAGCATCCGTAACATCTTCTATGTCCATAAGAGAGAGAGAGAAAAAAATCAGTGTTCATAAAGCAAAATCCACTCTTAGAGATAGGGTAGCTTTTGGGTATTATGGGAACTCAGAGAAGGAAGTGACTCACTCTGCTTGGGAAAACCAGGAAATGCTACACAGATGAGGGAGAAAGAAAAGAAAAAAAAAAGCCAGTACTGATCTGGGAAGGCTGGATAAAAAGGGGTGGGCTCAACCTTAGAGTGGGAAATGAGGGCTTAACTCACTTCCTAGATACCCTGCAGCTCTACAGAGGCTCCAAGGAGGTCAAGGTCTCAGTGACCGGAAGAAGCTTGGGCTGAGAGCCTGGGGCTCTTTCTCCAGAGCTTGAGGACAGGATGGTCACTCGAGGGCAGGCGGGTCACAGTTCACCAGTGTGCACAGACCCATGCAGCCTGGGTCAAACCTCAGCTGTGTCCTGTTCCGGAATGTCTCAGGGACATCCAGCCTGTCGCTACTGGTCAGTGGTAGGAGAGGGAGGGTGGGCCCTGGCAAAGGAATCAGTCACCGGGGCAGACGAGGGGGGGCTTCCAGAGGCAGTCCTGGCTCCTTCATGCCCCACTCCGCTGAGGGCTGCCCCTGCCCACAGGATGACCTCTTCTCTCAGCTGACCACCAGCTAACGAGGCTTCCTGGTCATGGTGGACTGCTCACACTCAGGAATGTGCTACTCATGAGCTGGGGTTTGTGTGTCAGCTCTTTCCCCACATCCAGCTGACAGAAGTGTGTTTCACGGGATTTGCTGAGAGAAGATGAGGCCATGATCCAGGAAACTGCCCCATAAACCACCGTGGGCTAGCAAAGCATCCTGGAACATTCTTCATCTGAGAAGGGAAGCATGGTTATTTAAACAAGACTAAAGTGGAAGATGCTACACGGGGGGCACGGGGGGGGGGATAACAGAAATGAGCTGTGAGGGTGGTGCACCCCACGTTCACATTTTCCTGAGGCCGCAAAGTAGCTGCAGGGTACAGGGACTATTCACACCTTCCCCACCAAGCCCCAGAGCTCCCTAGGGATGAGAGTTACAGTGCTGCACTCTGGCTATCTGTCTGATGACACCACCAAAGGAGATGTCCTTTGGTCAAAGAAAGGAAGCTGTAAGAATGGCTTCCTAAATGGCAACGAACATCTTTTGGCTGGCGTTCTGGCTGGGGAGATGCGGGGAGCTCATTCTGACAGAGTACTGGCCCTTTTGCTCTCACCTCTGCACGTGTGGCTTTCTTTCCCTCCTTGCCTGGGACAGTGGGCTTCTGAGGTGACATCAGACCTGTCCCATTAAAGGCTCTGTCCCCAACCTCTGAGCTGTAGGCCTTCCCCAACACACATGCTCTAAGCCAGCAGGCCCAGGGGAGATTCTACAGGAGGCCCTGTTCCTTCAACAACTCTGTGGTTGACATGGCGCCCTCCAGCTGGGCCCTGCAGCTCTCCAGACAGAGCAAGAAGGACAGGGCTCCCATGGTCCACCCAATGGAGTGTCAGCTCTCTCAAGGATATATTATTACGTACCAGTCAAGTTCCAAGACAACCTCACCATGGTGTGTACCAGGCTTTCTTCTGGGCCACCAACCAGCTCCAAAATCATGACACAGAGACTCGTCATTAGTTATGAATGCTGGGCCTAGCTTAACTCTGCCTTGGGGCTTTTTACCTTTTTCTTTCTTCTTTCTGACTATCTCACTTTCCTGTCCTCTCCATGTCTGGCTGGCCAGCAGCTGCCTGGCTTCTGGCCCCAGGTGTGTCCCTCTCTTTCTCCTGTGTTCTCTCCTCTCTTCTAGGTCTCTCCTCCTGCTTATTCTCTCTGCCTGCCAGCCCTGCCTATCCTTTCTCTGCCTAGCAATTGGCCATTCGCTCTTCTTAAACCAACCGGGTGGCTTGGCAGGCAAGGGGAAACAGCCACACTTCTTTACATAATTAAACGAGTGCAGCGGAAACAAATGTCGCACATAAGTTTCATATTCCACAGCTTGGTTGTGTTCATCTAGGACCCGGAGGTTTCTACGAACTGTCAGTCAAGCCTCCCACAGTCCCTCAAGGTCTGCTTGAAGCTCTGTGAGGAGAGGAGAAACGAGATGTAAGAGGCACTGGTTTGGGGCAAATAGACCATCAGTCAAACTGTCCAGGAGCTTGGACTTCCAGTGGGGGTGAGGGGTGACAGGCAGCCCTACAGTCCTTCTCTACCTGTCACCGCTCCCTCTCTGCTACACGGCTCACGTCCCTTCTGGCACAAGGTCCCAGGGCCACATCATGAGGAACTGTGGCTCAGCTACTCACTGGCTGAACAGTCGTGGGTGGATGACTAAAGTGTGTACCATGGTTTCCTCATCTATAGAACAGGACTGATGCTGGCCCAAGTCAGACACACACCACGTCGGAGACATGAACCAGTAATAAGTCGGAGGACCCTGGAGGCCACACCCTGAGCAACTCATTCAGTGTTCAAGCACAGGCTATCGGCTTTGTGAGTCTGGGGCTTCCTCTTGACTGATGAAAGCATATCAGAGATAGGGGTGGTTGCTGCTGATTCAGGTCTGGGGGGGGTGCAGAACACTACTGGGTTGTTCATGATAAAATGGTTGATTTGGGCTGGGCGTTGGTGGCACACGCCTTTAATCCCAGCACTTGGGAAACAGAGG